GAGCTCCTCACATCCTGAGGGGCTCGTTCGGGTCTCCGCTCGCGCGGATTCCCTCCTCCACCGCGGGCGGGCGAGACGCCCCTCGGGAGCGACCCAAGGATGCGTCTGCCTTTCGCGGGAGCCAGACCGGAAGCTGGGGGATGAAAGCTTTGTTTTGTGCATTATACAGAAATTGTGAAAATGTTCTCAATTGGCCTCATGACTGCCACTAAAAGACTTCAGTCTTTTACAACAGCCTTGCAAGGGGATCTGCAGGCGGGGGAGGGGGGAAGACAGCTGGGGGGGGGTGACGAGGTTGCGACAGTGACGGGATTTGAACTGGGGGGGGGCTGCTATGCTCTCCCAGTTGTTCTAGAAGGCTTGACACCCCCCACCCTTTTTTATTTGTACAGAAATGGCAGAACATCACAATGCCCAGGAAATCCTGCAGATAGCCCGGGACTTAGTCTGCAGAGTTCAAACGCTTATTGAGAACAAGTGAGCCTGGATGCCGGGGGGAGGGGGGGACAGAAGAGCCACAACGGATCACTGCCAGCGCCTCTCTCGGACCTCGGAGTGGGGGAGCCGTGGGGGTGGGAGGAGGCTCCCGGCACGGCCACGCCAGCTGGTGTTTCAGCCACATCTGACATGTACTTGCAGTAAATATGCCAGAGATTTCTAAGAGATTTCTAAACAAGGTTTCCCCACCACCACCACCAGACGAGTTTTAATCTTTTAGTCTGCCCAAATTGTCCTGTTCGGCTGATTGCATTTCTCTGTCTTCAGGAAGCAGCTACTTGCACCCAGGCGGCTGACCTGTGGGGGGCTTTGGGGGAGCAAAATGGTGTCTCCTGGCCGGGTTCCCTTTCCTGTGCTGCAATTTGCAGAAAAGTCGTCTGCCCGCACTGCCTCCCGTGCCAAGGAGGCTGCCCGACAGGCCACCCTCTGCCTCTGATGCGTGAACATTTTTGTGTTCAGAAGGGGGCGAGGCTCACTGTTAGCCCACCGTGCATTTAATACAGCCAGTTCCTCCCTTAGAAGAGGAGGCTTCCTGCTGGAAGTGTGGGCAAGAATTCAGGACTGTGCAAGTGTCAGAGCTTGTGTGGATGGGCGGCCATCCATAAGGGGAAGGCTAGCCAGATAAGGGTTCCCTTCTCCCTTCCCCTATCCCCTTTGAAGGGTCAAAAGTGACGGTGGGTTTGGCCAGCTGTGCCAAGCAACTAAACCCCAGTTCAGTAATAGTGGAAGAGAACAGAGAAATGGACAGTGGGTGGAGAAATGAAAGGCTTGGAAATGTTCCCAGACTTTTCTGCACAATCATGAGGGCTAGAACAATGTTATTTTTTTTTTTAAAGATGAGCAGCAAAAAAAGGAAAAGTTGCTGTGGACAGGAGGTGACTGTTTTGTTGCCCCTGGGAAATCTTGTGTCTCAAGTCACCCGTGCCCAGTGGCATTCTCCAGGTGTGTGTGTGTGTGTGTGTGTGTCTGAATCCTTTTTGGAATGCAAGGGAAGCTTCCGCAGAGAGCCCTGCCCTTTGTACTTCTGGCATGCCAGCTGCCTCTCGCCTCCTCTGTTATTTGGGTTCCCCCCCCCACTTGTGCCAAGTCTGCATCCAAACCATGCACGGTTCTGCCTGCCAGCCAGCCGGCCAGCCTCCCGGGGAGAAAAACGTGCTTTATGATATTGTGTCTCATTTTCATTCAGCTGAAAAGGTGAGGTCTTGACCTCGGGATCCCAGCGAGGGAATCTCTATTTTAAAATAAAACGAAGAATGCACTACATTTTTTGAGAATGTATTATATGACACTTTACTATGTAAAAAAAAAACCCCATGAAGAATTTATCTGTGCAAACTTTGTTGTACCTGTTCCTATAACGGTCTGCCTAATTGTATTTTATGAATCTTGTGTACTGCCTTATTTATTTATTTTTGGTCAGGGACAGAATATTTTCCTTCATGGCTCAAGAGTTTATCTTTGCAGTGGAACCTACTGATTAAATATATATATATATATATATATACACATATTGTATAAGCTTTTTCCATTGTGCAGAACTTGCTCTTTGTTTCCGAGCTGTATGGGAGACGACATATCAGCCCGACAGCCTCATCCTACAGCTTTAGGTGCAGATCCAGAAAGCAAGCCTGGTGGCGACATGATTGTGTTAAGGCAGAAGTATTCCCCCTACCCCAGACGTTGCACACCCAGCACACGGCCCTCCCTTCGCCTGGGCTCCACGGCCAAGACTAGCCGCCTCCAGGTAGGGCCTGGATATCTCCTGGAATTGCGCCCAACCTCCAGCTACAGAAATCAGTTCCCGTGGAAGGAGAATACCACAGGCTCTCCCTCTAAGCTGTGGCGTCTTGTGAGCAAAAAGTCTACTTTGTGAGCGACTGGCATTAGAGTTGTGAGCGAGCGATTTGGCTGCTGCATCAATTAGTTTGCTCTGGAGCCCCACCCTTCCCAAGCCAAGATGAAAATGTGTGAGCTGGAGGCTAGCTCACGCTAACTCAGCTGAGAGGGAACACTGATCCCCAGTGAGCTCTCTCCCCCCTCCCTAAGCACCCCCCCCAAGATCTCCAGGGGTCTCCCAAGCCAGAAGTGGCAGCCCTGCTCCTTCCTGCCGTGTGGGGCAATCGGAAGGCCTGGCAGCGCAGAGCCCCCTTCCCCTGCATTGGGCAGCATCTCTGGTGCAGCGCAGGGGTTCTGCGGGGGGGGGGGACATGGTGGCCTCCTGTGCGTGTAGTGGACGGTGGCCCTGGGGCAGCCAGAGGCGACTGGTGGGCGGGGGTGTCGGCCACTTTGCTACACGAATGGACAGGGCTGGGCCTGGGGAGGCCAATCTCCTGTTCGGCATCACTGCCCTGCACTGGGGGAAATCTCATTTCCCTCCCTTGCTAGACAGTTCATAAGAATTATGTCAACGATCTATTAAGATCCCTACGATCCTTGCCCTTCTTCTAAGCAGCTCAAGGCGATGGTGCATTTTCTAACTCTTCTCCTCCCACCCCAGTAAGGGAACGCGGGCCCACCCTTAAGGCCAAGGCAGAGAATGTAAGGGATCATTTCTGCAGCTCAAATTCTAGGCTCTACCACTAGGTGGCAGGTTGTGCCCATGGCAAGGGAACCTGGAAGGGGTTACAGGGGAAGGGACAGGCGGCAGGCAAGGGGTGCCCTGGGATCAAGGATGGGGGGTGGGGTGGGGCCCGAGGCATCTAGCGGATAGCACAGCAAAAGCGCTAGGGGATAATTCCATCTAGCTGTGTGCCAGTCTATCACAAGTAATGACGAAGAGTCACACCAGGGGTAGAACAACAGGATTCCTGGATCCAGGTGGGTAGAGCCGTGTTGGCCTGAAGCAACAGAACAACGTGTGAGTCCAGTGGGGGGCACCTTTAAGACCAACAGAGTTTTATTCTGGGCGGAGGCTTTTGTGTGCACACAACACTTCTTCAGATTCCTGGACTTCGCTCAAACACAGGCGTCCTAGCTGGCCCGGCCCAGAGCTGCTGCTATAGCGTGCATTTTTCACACAGACACATCAGAACTGCTGCTTGGGTTATGCTGACAAGTTTCTTTATTTGAATCGGTCCACGTATTTGCTAACACAAAGCACGCTTCCGGCAGCTAAATGAAATACAAGATGCTGATTTGAGCCTGAATCTTGTTTCTGCTGCACCAGTGACAGGCAGCTGTCTCCTCGTCCTCTGAACCAAGCCAGGCAGCTTTGGGCATGGTGTGCCTGGGGGCGTGGAGTTGCACCACTTTCCCACCTGGTGATTTGGAAGTCCTCGTCCGTCTGTCCCCAACACCAGTGGGGGGTGAGGCAGAAGGAGGGAAGACTCCGCCGCAGCAGGGATCAAGCTGGCAGAACTGCCCAGCTGCCAACCAAGTCTGGTCTGCCTCTGCAGCCCAATGCGGACCTCTTCAGACCCCCGCTGGGTCATTGAACGTTCAGATTCTTCTTTTTGCAGAGCAAGTAACTGGGAATGAAGATGACGACGATTTAAAAAACCCTTATGGAGCAGAAAGACCGCTCTGGCCTGGCTTCTGTCCACTGCCCGAACTTTCTCCTGGAAAGGAGAGCTGTTTTCTACCGCCTTGCTCTGTGGAATGTGTACAGATCAATGCTCAAGGATGGACTGCAGGTGAAGGATCACACTTTGGAATGCTATGCTATGTCAAGACCTCCCTGCAAGCAGAAACCTAGCACAGAGACGTGATAGAATCTCTCTTTCTGCAGTGCTAATTTTTTGTTTGCAGGGAGATCCCAAACACATGAAAGAACATCCCAAGCTGGAACAAGCAGTCAGATGTGCAGTCTTTCATGCCCATCACATTCTATTTATTTCATCGTTATTCCTATCCTGCCCTCCCCCGGAAGCGAGCTCAGGGTGGGCTACGACCCATTCAGAACAATTAAAATAACATTCCGTATTTAATTAGAATACAACAGTATCTAATAGCATAACTCCCAAGATGGCCAACAAACCCCAGGGCCATTCTCCTGGAGGTGCCAAAGATGCAGGTTACTGAAGAGATCCTCAAAAAATGCACCCTTTCCCTCTCCAATTAAGAGGAGTGCCCATCACATTTCTGGGGAAAGGGGCCGCGGTGGCTCAGGGGTTAAGATGCTGAGCAGCAGACCGGAAGGTCTGTAGCTCAGCAGTTTGAGACCTAAGTGCTGCATGATGGAGTGAGCTCCAGTCTCTGGCCCCAGCTCCTGCCAGTTCGAAAGCAAGAAGTTGCAAGTAGGTAAATAGGTGCCGCTTTGGTGGGAAGGTAGCAGAGTTCCGTGCACCCTGGTGTTTGGTCATGCCGGTCACATGACCGCAGAAATATCTTCGGACAGTGCTGGCTCTTCAGCTTGGAAATGGAGCTGGAGCACCACCCCCTAGAGTCAGATTCGGCTGGTTTTCGAGCAAGGGAAACCCTTTACCTTCACTATTGTTTGAAAGGCATGTAGACTGCTTCACCTGAGACTTGCTCAAGGAAGGCTGCTGACAAAATAAAAGCAGTTCACTAAAACCATAAAACAGCCAGAACAGCTCTTTGGCTTGGAAACGGAGATGAGCACCGCCTCCGAATCAGATTCGACAAGCTTTCGAGCAAGGGAAACCTTTACCTTTTTACCCTTCACATATTAAGCCATCACTGCATGATCTTTTTGGAGTAACTTGCAGAAATACTCCCTCAAGTATCTAAAATCGAGCATTTGAAACAGGATGGTGTGAGGTCCAATACGCCTTTTTATTTATTTATTCACCTACCTTTCATCTTCTACCAATGTCCTCCCTATAACAGATGCAAATTCTTGCAAATAATTTCTCCACAGTAGGCAGGGCAGAGGGGTGAGGCGGGCAATCAGTTTCTCTTGAAGTTCGAACAACACAAAACACAAAGCACACGCTGGGCCCTTGACACCACTCTCTGAAGTGTACTTTGCTGAACCAATTTCCAAAGGGAAACGATGACCTGGATGCTGGGGATGAAAAGAGACTGGCAACAGTGCGTGTCACAAAAGCTATTAAAGGACACTTTATATAGACACGGTCACCTATGTTCACGTCTTTCTATCGCCCAAGGACCCCTTGGATGTCAGCCTGTCCAACCCAGTCACAAATTTCTTGTTGAAGAACTTCACAGCGCACAGTCAAATGCCTTAACCATCAAGAGATTTTGAATATCTAGTTATGCTTTGCAAATGATTAGGAATTGATAATCAAACAGTTGATATTATAATGCCCCTGTGTAATCTGTGGTGTGGCCGCATTTGGAATATTTTGTACAGTTCTGGTCACCATATCTCAAAAGAGACATCACAAAGCTGGGGAAAGTACAGAGGGAGGAGACCAAGATGATTACGAGGTTGGAGCACCTCCCCTAGCAGGAAAGGCTGAAGAGGCAGAGTCTTCCCTGATTAGAAAAAACAACTGGGG